TTAATTGTATCACCATACATGCTACCTGCCCAATCTTTCGCTTTCCTGTAGTTCGTTTTCATATTACGCACTTTGATACTCACCAACTTTCATTGAATTAACAGATTTTTTTTTAAAACAGAAACGCGTATAAAAATCCCGGGCATACGGCTTCTGCAAAATACATATTGTACATACATACATATTTATGTGCGTAAATATGTACTTATATTTCCAAATTATATTTATATGTGTTTAAGAAAAAAACCTCAAATATGCGTTTTTCTAAAAGAAAATCAATGAGTGACTTCTCTTCCGACACTGTCCACATATAGTTTGGTTTTCCCCAGACACGCTTAGTTTTGCCCTGAATTCAAAAAGGTCTTTAATAAGTTAAATATGTTATAAAATAAAGATAACTTACTCCATTGCCATGAGATGATTCCATTTTTTAATTTAAAATTTGAATATTTTATTGTACTCTGACCAGTGTTGCCAACTCCAAGACCCGAAAATACCATTTCCTCTGAAAAAAACGCCCTGTTTATCCCATTTTAAAATTCGAGAATCCCATTTATAAATATTAAATATTAAAAGCTTTTAATAACAATATATATAAGAAGTATTTATAGCAGCCAGCTTAAGTTGTGCGTTTTCACTTTTCTTGCGTTGCACATGGCCTTATGGTTGTCTCTACAGCTATAAACACAGCCGTAATGCGACTATCTCTGATATAGATTTTTTTTTTTTATCTCGTTAACAAGGCCTTTCTATGTATTGAAGGTGATAAATGCAAAAAATAATTATCCAAAAAAGTAAAGTAAGTAAAGTAAAATTCATCGACTTTAAAAGAGTGGCTAGTTATTACAAAACTAGTTTATGGAAAAGTTGTCCGCATTCAAAGAAATGCTTATTGGACGTCCTGCCTGCCAAGCCGCCCAAATTCGAAAAAAATAAACTTTTTTTCTTATTTCCTTGTTGCAATATTTCTGTATTAGGTTGAGCTAAACATCCAGAACTTTCGGAAACGATGCGGGCAACCTTCCTCTTTCTTAAAGACGAAACCAAAGAAAGTTAGCACACTTAGCCCACACCTGAGATCCCCCAATCTGAAGGGACATACGGTTGCCAGACGTACTGATTCTATCAGTACAGTACTGATTTTTCAACTCTTGTACTGATTTTACTAATTTCTTCAATCAGTACGCTAATGTCCTAATTTTTTAAAAAATTTTACTGATATGTACTGACTTTTCAATTTAAACAAAATACTTTAGGATTTTCTTAAGGTTTTTACATAACGCTGGAACTTCCTTAAACTGCAATGTAAAAGGCTAAAAAGTAAGAAGAAAATAATTTAATTATAGTTGACATATTTCAGAAATGTTTCATACACTGAGGGAAAAAATGCTGGAACTTAAAAAAAAACGTGCTAAATTAAAAAAATACGCATATGAAAGAGCACCAATCATGGCTATAACTTACAACTCTTTTTTCACAATTTACTGACATTGTAAAAGAGTTTTGCATACAAGACATAGAGTTAGATATTCTTTTTAGCGAATTCTTAGTCTTTCAAAGTTTTTGCGTAGTTGAAACCATTAATTTAAGCCATATATTATTATAGATGAAGTCCTTAAATAGTGGTACTTTTCCACAGTTTGAAAAAATATGTATTTTTTTTCAATACCACATTTTCTAAAGCTGTAGTTGTATTTTCTGTCCAATTTGATTGTTTAAGTTTATTTTTAGTTTCTAATGTTAACATTTCGTGCAGAGGACTAAGTACTGCTTATTTATTGAAAGTGGTTTTTCAAAATTAGTTATTGCCTCAACTCATTTGAAAGAAGGTCTTATTTCTTCACTTGAAATTTTATAACTAAGAAAATCTTGTTCCGAAAATGCATTTACTAGGTTTAATATTCAAGTTATATTTTCCAAGTCTCTCGAAAACAGATTTTAAATGCTCAATATGCAGAACTTCATTATCACTTGCAACAAGAATATCGTCAATATAGACAAATACGAATTCCAAACCAGAAAATACTTCGTTAATAAAACTGTGAAATGTTTGTGCACTATTTCGTTGACCAAAAGGCATCCGTACAACTCAAACATTCAAATGGTGTAGTAATTGCTGTTTTATGTATATCTTCTTCAGCCATCGGTATTTGATGATACGCACGAACAAGATCAATTTTGGAAAAAAATTGTTTATTTTTTAAATCAGTAGTCAAATCATGAATGTGAGGTAACGGATAACGATCTGGAATAGTAATGCAATTAAGTCTTCTGTAATCTCCACAAGGTCTCCAATCATTTGGTTCTTTTTTAGGAACTAAATGTGAAGGGGATGCAATGTGAGAATGTGAAGGTCTACACATACCTGTTTTAACTAAAAATTCAAATTCTGTTTTTGCTATTTTGAATTTAATTGGATCAAGACGACGTGGTTTAGAGAAAGGTAGCACTCCTTTTGTTTCAATTCTGTGAACCGTTTGGTGTTGTACTGGTTTAGTATAATCTGGTTCACAAGTAATTGAATCATTTAAAAGTTTAGAAAATTTATTTTCAGTAATTGGTGTCCTTATTGAAAATATATCGCAAAAACCAGATGATCCAGAAACTTTCAATTTTGTTGTTGAATCAGTAATTTCTCTATTTTTAATATCAAGTAATATACCCAATTTCTCTAAAAAGTTAGCGCCTATGATTGGTGTTGAAATATCCGCTAATATGAAAGGGAATTCAAAATCGCGTCTTAAACCTAGATCAATTTTTAAAATTTTTGTACCATAAGTTTTAATAGAAGAACCGTTAGCTGCAGTCAAATTAAGATCTGAACTTCTTTCATGTGATTTGAATTTTGAAGAAGGGATGACCGAAACGATTGCACCAGGATCGATTAAAAAATTTCATTTATTGGGTTTATCATAAATAAATAGGCGGCGAGATGGTTTAACTTCATTCCCATTATTAGCCACCGTCATAAAGGAACGATCTAGTTTAAAACATTAGAATTTTCTTCGTTTTTATTTTTGTTAAAATTACAAGGTTGAATGCATTATTTTTAAATTTTCTATGATACCAACAAATATTTTGGTTTCTAGATCTAGAAAATTTTCTGATTTAGAACGACTTCTGTCTCTATCTCTATCTCTTGATCTTGATCTAATTTGTAATTCATTAATATCTGCTGTAATTTTGTTAAGATTTTGGTAAATGGCCGTAGTCAAATCAGTCAAATTTCTAATGCATTATTCAAGAATATTATTATTATTATTTTCTACACTAGCAACATTAAAAGATTTAGAAGATTGAGGTTTATTTATCAAATCAAATAATTTATCTGCAAGTGAAATAATTTCTTCACTATTTTGATTACTACAAGAAGTTATATGAATTTGTTTTTGTTGCGGTAACTTCCTACTCCATAATTTAAATAAAAGTTCTTTACTGACAATTGATTTGGAACCTGCTAAAGATTCCATATGTCGATAAAGTTCTGATGGTGAACGATCACCCAGTTCGGTATTTGAAAATAATTGATCTAATCTCTTCACTTCGCTAAGAGAATGTCTTTCACATAAAACTTTTTTAATTGTTTCATATTTGTTAATCAAAGTAGGTGGATTGATAACATCAATAATTTTAGAAATTATCTCTCTTTGAAAAACAACTAAAACGTTTTGAAATTTTATATTATCATCATGTTTATTTTATTTATTTATTTATCGTATCATCCTAACACAACAATTAAGGAAATTATTTTATAGTGTTAGTCATATTGAGATAACATTGAATTAATAGATATAAGATACACATAAAAATGGAAAATTTAAAATTTTGTATTAATTTCATATTACAACAAATCTATTATAACCAGATCTTTTATATAAGTGCAATGAAAAAGAAGAAGAAAAAGAAAAGAAAAGAAACAAAAGGTTAAATATATTCACTGTTATTATAGTAGTTGGTTATCTCCTTTTTGAAAAGCAGTGCATTCTTTATAAGTCTTAACCTAATAGGAAGAGAGTTTCAAAGACGTATAGAGTTAATAAGGAACTGACGCTCGGACACAAGAGTCCGATACCACTGTGGAACAAATTCAGGTTAGCAAAAGTTAGGTCGATTCTGAGAGTTAGGGGTGAAAATAGAGGCTAAATTAGAAGACCCGTATCGCGGCGTTTGTTTATGTTAGTTCGAATTTTTTTTTAATCGACCTTCGAACTTTGCGGTCAAATGCAATAAATTTCTTCCCCTTCTTCCTCTTTTTCCTCGTCTTCCTCTTTTTTGTTTCCAACCACCGCACAGGTAGCGATTTTTATTTATTTCGTACAAGCGAACTAATATCAAAAATAAAGATTCAGTTAAGACTCGAAACTCAGCCGAAGCTGATGTCTTTTAATTTTCGCTCGGTCGTGATAAAATTCGCTATTAATTTTTTTTGGAACTTATTTCATTTTGTGAGTGATTTAAGTTAAGTGCATCGGTTTCATAAAAATAACAAAAACAACATTGTATAATATATATTGTATTAAAAATGTCGGAACCAAAATGTAAAATGGACCATTTTTGTAATGTTTGTGGACGTTTCATAGCAAGCGATGAAAAATGTGGCAATGCGAGTGATTGTTTTTTGGAAGCCTATAAACAATATTTCTCGCAAGAGTTTATCACTGACGTAAACTATGCCCCTAAAAAAGTTTGCTTTAATTGCTATTCAAGTGTTATGCAATGGAAAAGTGAAAAGAAGAAGGCTATGCCTTTTGGTATACCAATGATGTGGTTAGACAACAGCCCGCATCAACAAGAAAATTGCTATGGATGTATCAACTACCATAAAACTTTGAATAGAAGGAAAGCAAAGAATAAAACTTATGTAGCAGTGCCAAGTGTCCAATTACCATTACCGCACTCAGAATTCGTTCCAGTACCAACATACCGAAGTATTGATCTTCAAACAGATATCAGTACTACAACCGTCGCTGCTATATCCCAGCATTTCTTCTCAGAATACGACCCTGGTGAAGGTACATCCTATGAAATATCAAAGGACCCAATCCTAGTCACACAAAAGAATTGTTGCAATTTTGTGTTTGACTCAGAAAAAATCAGAACAACTGGCTTCATTTTTGAAAGGAAATAATTTGCTGGCGAAAGGTACCAAAGTAACAGCATATCGAAAAGGCCAAAACGAGTTAGAAAAGTTCTTCAATGTGAATGATGCAAAAAATTTCGCTTATTGCAACGATATCGAAAAGTTAATGGAGACGATAGGGTTTACCTATAAAAAAGATGATTGGCGTTTATTCATCGATAGTTCACTAATCAGCTTAAAAGTTGTGCTTTTGCACAAGACGACTAGAATGCCTTCTGTTCCAATTGCGTATAGCACTGACACTAGTGAAAATTTCGATAATTTGAAACACATTCTGGAAGTAGTCAAATATAACGAACACCAGTGGCGCATTTGCTGCGACCTTAAAATAGTTTCATTGATTACAGGCTTAACAGCATCTGGCCGTCCAAAATATCCGTGTTTTTTGTGCGATTGGGATTCACGATACGGAGAAGGTATTAAAGGAAGAAACCAGTACAAACAGCATAACTGGAATAGTCGCATTGGACGGAAATGGCCTAAAGACAATAGGCTACACGAAAGTCTTGTTCCTGAAATGAAAATTTTGTTGCCGTTGCTCCACATTAAACTTGGCATTGCTAAAAATTGTTTGAAATGTATCGCAAAAAGACCAGCAGTATTCAACCGCTTAAAAGACATTTTCCCAAGACTAAGTAACGGCAAAATTCAGGAAGGGGTTACTAATGGTCCCGACATACGGAAACTAATGAGTCGGCAAGATTTTGACCAAGTTCTGACAGACCGAGAATTAAATGCATGGCTCGCATTGAAAGAAGTCATTAAAGGACTTTTGGGTAAAGAACGCAAAGACAACTACAGGCAATCTGTTGCAAACATGTTGGCAGCTTTCGATGAAATTGGGGTTAATATGTCGTACAAAATTCATCTCTTGCATCAGCATCTTGATCAACTCGCTCAACAGTTGCCAACTGAATCTGATGAGCAAGGCGAACGTTATCACCAAACTGAGCTTCCATTTGAAATAAGGTAACTATCGAGTGTGCATATTTTGAATTCCTAGATTTTTCTAATATCTTTGTCAGAGTGCACAATTTAAACATGTTAACGATTGAAAACTATTTTCGTTTCAGGTACAGAGGAAAGAAATCTCCAGATGCAACACTCGCTGAAATTTGTTGGTGGTATAAAAACACCTTTGAAGAAGAGGAAGACGACGAAAAAGAGGAAGAAGGGGAAGACAAAGATGAAATTCCAGAATATCTGTTGGACGAAATTATCGACCTTTCTGATGATGATGACGATGACCAAGATATTAGAGAGAGCAGTGATGTTGATCCACAGCCGCCTGCTAAACGGCAACTGGTCAAATCATTAATTTAATTTATTTAATTTTTTTACTTAAAACTTTTCATAACTAACATTTCAAAATTATATTTTTTTCCATATTTTTATAATTTCTTTTTCAATGTTTCTTCAAAACCAACACTGAAAAAATTGGTACATAAGAAATGAGAAGTAAATTAATATTAAGCTGGAAAACGCAAGTTTTGTATTATGATTCTTTTCAAATGAAATTTATTGAAGAAACTGAGAAGCATATTATAGATCAAACAGAAAGCAAAAAAGACTTAGTTTTGTGGAAAATATGTTCAAAAAGCATGAAAAAAAAATTCCAACATTTTGCTTCATAAGCACTACAAAAGTTTTCTAAATCAATTTTTTAATCAATTTTTATTTTAATTTTAATTGTTGCACAGGTCTCTAGCAATAATTTGGCTTTAACAGATTGAAAAAATATCAATTATTCGACGAGTTATAGTTAAAAAACCATATAAACAATATGCTGAAAATCGGCATTTGACTGCAAAGTTCGAAGGCCAATTAAAAACAAATTCGAACTCACATAAACAAACGCCGCGATACTGGTCTTCTAATTTAGCCTCTATTTTCACCCCTCACTCTCAGAATGGACCTAACTTTTGCTAACCTGAATTTGTTCCACAGTGTTCTTAGTGTGAACAAGAAGTGAAGACCTCGGAGATTGAAGGAATTGAAGTCTGTCGTAAAGATATTGAGGTTCCTTAGTGTGTATAATTTTGTGGACAGTCAATAGTGTTCTGACTTTTAACAGGTTATCAAACGAGATGTTTAGTATCTTTTCAGAAAATTGGTCAAGTCTCTTTAGCCCAAACAAATATCTTGCAATGTTGTTGTAGCAACATTTAGCTTTTTCCTGCATACAAAATCACAATTAGAATAAATTTCTCATCCATAAAGGAGCGTAGGTAGCAAGTACGCTTTAGCAGAGAGTAATCTTATATTTTTAAAGGAGTGAAGTACTGTGAGGGCCAGAGTGTACGAAGCATTCCATACACTTTTCCTACCGCGTAAAAAATATGGTCTTTCCACGTCAATGTGTTCTTAAATATGACGCCAAGATTCGTAGCCGTGTCTACATAATTTATCACAGACATCCAACATAATTACATTTAAGCTACTTGCACCGAAAACTTTTCTACAAATTACGATGCATTTAGATTTTTCAGGGTTAAGGCATAAGCCATTGCTCACCTACTCGAGTGAAATTAGAATTTAGATCTTGAATACACTTATTGGTACGGTCAAATGGACAAGTAATATATAATTGGACATCATCAGCATAAATATGGAAATTGCAGTTATTCAACATATTAGGTAAGTCATTTATAAACAATACAAACAATAGAGGATCCAAAATAGAGCCTTGAGGCACTCCTCTAACTACAGTCAGGAAACTGGACTTTCTCTCTCCAACACTTACAGCTTGAACCCTGTTTCCAAGGTAAGACCTGATAAGGCTCGTTGCTCGGCTTGAAAAATTAAACAGGTTGCTCGACTTACAGCGTAATAAGCTGTGGTCAACTGTATCAAAGGCCTTAGAATGATCAAGCAATGTTAAGAAACCAATATTATTTTCGTCAATTTGTGACCTTATATACTCCGTTACGTCTAAAATCGCCGTAGTACAGCTTCTCTTTGGCCTAAAACCAGACTGACGATCAGTTAGAAGTCCATTATCATACACATATGAACTAATCTGCATATGTAGTATACGCTCAACCACTTTGGACAAGAAAGGCAGAATGGCTATAGGCCTAAAGTCGTTATTTACCTTATGAACAGGAACGCAAGCTGTTAAGATGGAGTTTATAAGATAGGTCAAATGCGGTAAGATCTTGGGTAGGATTATTTTAAGGAAAGCTGTGCTAATTTTATCAAATCCCACCGTATTTGATTTAATAGATAGAATCGCTTGTACGACATCACAGTCATCCACACATACAAAATCAAAAGGACTGACACCAACATTCACACGTTCACTGTAATAATCAAGGCATATACTTATTAGAATTTGGAATGGGTATGTTTACAAATTTATTATTTAATTCAGCGATGTCTGAAATAAGAGGTGCAGTTAGTTTGGATTTTCCAATCCCAATCTCCCTTATGATATTCCATGTTTGTTTTGAGCTAAGCGCGGAGCTAAACTTATCTTTATAAATCTTTGACTTGGCCAATCTGATGGCTTTGTTTACGACGATTCGTGCATTTTTAAATATACTAAGTAATTCAGGAGTTCTATACTGTTTCCACCGCGAGTATGCTTGATTGCGCAAAGTAATTAAATGTTGACTACTTGCATCGAACCGGGGCCTGCTATGGTGTTTTACAACCTTGTATTTAAGTGGCACAAATTTGTTAAAAAGGAAGTTAATATGATCCTGCAGAAAGCAGGTCTGCTCATCGATTGATTTTCTGCTCTAAATTTGGCCCCACTCGACTGATTCAACCGCCACTGAGAGTAAATTGTAGTCAATATTTTTAAAGTCGCGGTATGAAAAATAATTTAGTGTATCAGATGCTTGGAAATCAGAAATCAAGAATATTAGGTCGTGCTTTGAAAAACCTGGCGCATGTAGCTGATTGTAGTAGACTGAGTCTAGCAGCTTACTCACAAAAAAAATTTCCAGAAGAGTGCTGCTAGTGTGAGTAAAATGCGTCGGCATGGAAGTATTAGTAGGATAGAGGCCTAAGGATTCCATACTCAATCTAAGGCTACTATCTGCAAGTAAGTTGCTATTAAAGTCTCCTGTAATTATGATATTTTTGTAATTGACAAGGGACGGTTGAAGGAAATCCGTGAAATGGGAAAAATTAACATGACAATTCGGCCTATATACACAATCAACAAGTACTTTACTATTTTTCGAAAGGATGTCGACAAACATATATTCAACCGAATCACCACTACTCGAAGTACAATTTAACCTGCAGGACAAGCCAGTTCTAACATAAATCGCAACACCACCACCATGACCACTTCTATCAGCCCTTAAAAGTTGATAACCGTTTACCTTTAACAAGTTACTGCTTTGACTCGACAAAAACCAAGTTTCCGATATGCATAAAATGTCGATGTTCGAGCCTTCAAACATATACCGGAATTCGTCAAGTTTCTTAAACAAGCTCTGCGCATTCAAATAGATTATTTTCAACCCAGTGGCTCGTTTACTGAGAATACGCAACATAGTAAATAGCGAGTATTTGGAACTCACGGACTTATGGTCCAGGTGTGTCATTACAAAAAATTATCAAGGTTGATCTCGCACTGCGATTTGATTTTGAAAAGTTTGAATATAGAGTTAACGCGCTACTATAAAAGATAAAGTTATAAATTATGGTAAGAGGAAAAAAAAAGAACTAAGAAAATAATTCAGAGACAGAAACAAGACGATTATTCTATTTTTCCTGGAAGCCATGATTTTCGGGATGGATATATATATTTTCATGCTGCGAACTACCACCTCGAAATAATCGGTCATCAGGAGTTTGGCTGCTGTACTCTATGCTGGACATATCCTCTAACTTAAGCACACAATGGGGACTGTCGTTATTTGAGCGTTTAACAAAAACTTGGCCGCGCCTTGTAAAAACAGATGTTATTTTTTCCGCTTTTTTAGTTGAAGTGCAGATTTTAGTATATCGTGGTTGAGTTTGCTCAGAGCCTCGTTTACATAAATGGGGGCTTCGGAGTTAATGCCCACATGGACTAGCCGCAAGATGTTG